TGGACAAAAAACATAGATATGTAATAGCTCTTCTGAGAAATTATAGCCTAATTTATTGTAATTTTGTATATCAGGTAAAACTCAAGAAGTAGAATTGAACGAAACGAGCGAAAAATGATAAAAAATTGGGCGAAGTCCAAAGTTTGAAGACCGAATTGCAAATATCTAATAGTTGATTTGGGCCATAAGACAATACTTTGAAGATTTCTAGGAAACAATTGGATGCAATCAAAAGTTAAAATGGAATTGAATATGATCAAAATACTATCACAAATAAGTTTCCAATCGCACAAGTTATATTTCATATTTTTAACTGAAAATTGAGACCAATTTTGGCATAATAAACGTTTGAATTGGAGAAATTATATTTCTAGCAAAGTTATATCCCTTTGAGTTAACTTCCTTACATACTTTGAATTACTTTAATTGAATATCGGGAGAGAAAGTTATGAACAATTTGAACGCTAATTTCATCCAATTTCTACTCCTACAAATACATAAAAGTAGAATTAGAGACACCTCTGATATACATATTATACTCCAATATTTATCAATTACTATCATCGAAAGGAGGTAAAATTCATAATTTTTGTGAGATAATTGAATGGGACTTGTCGGGACGGCAATGGACCGAGCCGACGAGCTCAGCTCGTACTCGTCATGAGCCGAGCTCGTGGATCATTTGTAATTTGCTCAGCTTGTTACTCGAGGGACGAGCCGAGCTTAGGCTGGGGAGCTTGCATTTTTTTTTTTACAACAAAAAAAAGAAGAAGTTAAAATTCAAACTCTCTTTCTTCATCTGGGCTTGGGATCGACTACTTAAATTTTGAGTAGGTGGAGTTAAAAATTGTACACGAACAACTTGTAATGTGTACAATTTTTTAAAGAAAATTAAAAACAGTATTATAAAATAACAATTTATGATTAATATGGTTTAGTTAAATATCACTTACAAATCTATGTCATGTGCGCACGGGCTATGATATACGATAAATTGGAAACCAAAAAATGCTTTAGATATGGTATCTAAAACAATTTTTAGCTCCCAATTTATCGTATGCCACATAGATTCAGATGAATCAGGCCTTAGACTTGAGTAAAGACTAAAGAGTACGGTAAAACTTGATAATTTTGGAAGAGCACGTCTAGAGACTAAAGAAAGGATTGTTGAATTGTGTGAAAAAAGGGATAAGTTTAGGTATTTATAGAGGGAGAAAGGAAAAAAATAGCAAAGCCTTAAACCCATGAGCCTAGCTCATGGGTAAGCTCAGCTCACAACTCTTTTTTTTCTTTTTATTTTTAAAATAGATAAAATATAAACTCTCATTTTTTATTTAAGTTTGTGACCGGCTACTTAAATTTTGAGTATGTGGAGTTAAAAATTGTATACGAATAACTTGTATCATGTACAATTTTTTTTAAAAAAAATTAAAAGCAGTATTATAAAATAACAAATTTTGATTAATATGATTAAATTAAATATCGCTTACCTGATATAATGCAATTTCTATATATTTATCTTATAGTCGGAAATGAGTGTCCTGTCGATCCTTCACCCACATTAATGCTTTCAAAATATCTTCTTTCAGTCGGCTTCTGACCTTGGACAAAACCCTTTTACTTACACTAAAAGCAAACTTCGAAACTATAGTGCTAATCTGAGGTGTCAGTAAATCTTTTGCAACTGCGAAAACTACTAGACATCGTCGTTCGTACCTCCACCAAAATTCAATAACCTCTTTCGGAACTTTTTTAATTGTTTTATTGATAGGTATATTATGATTAAAGTAATCAATTAATTTATGAAACAATATATTTGCACTTACCTCTGAATCTCTCATGTTTGATTAGATGCAGAATACAAAGTATTACTAGGTGAACATATTGCATTGGTATCATATCTATACGTGTTAATGCCTTCTAATAAATTTAATATTTAAATGTGATCTTTTTCAATATCAGCGAAAGGAGTATGTGCAGAGGATATTTAATTAATATTTGTACACATTCATTCTGCATATAATTCATACATTTCGCATAAAGTTTGTTCTAAATTTCTATACGTGAAAGGTGTACTGAAAGTTAAAGCTCTTGAAATTTGATCAATTACATATTTATTTCCTGAAAAATTATATCAGGATCCATGATACATGCTAAAAGAAATAACATAGGTAAGTCTTCCTAATATTTTCTAAACTTTAATTCCATAGAGTATATAGTTGCACTAAAATCGAGATCATTTTTGTATTTATGAAACGCCATTGCAATTACATAAAGACGTTCGAGCACCATACAGTAAGTCAGATAGTAAATTTCAGATAAAATATTTGTACTGTCATAAAAAAGTTGTCAAAAAAATTTTAACTTTTAAAGCTAAAAGCCAATCGGATTCATTCAGAATAGTGTAATCATCGTTTTTAATATGTTTATTGTTATAAAACTCAGTTATTAAGACCTTGTTTGAGCCTCATTATTTCCTCGTTAAAATGAAAAATATGATCGTTATCCATTACATCAAGCCACCATTTTTGACTTTTTATTCCTTGTGTGGGGTCCATAACGGCTATATTTTTCATTCTCATTTTTACAATAATGTGGCTCAAACGGAGACTTAATTTGGGATTTAGATTTGTAGTGAGGTTATTAAATTAGTTGAAGTTTGGGGATTGGAACATTCAAATCTAGGAAGAATCATTAGATAATGGGGTAGTAATTTTCAATGGTGGAAACGTACTATACTTGAATGTGGAAGGAGTAAGTGTTTTGTAATAAGTACTAGAATGAACATCAGGGTGTGTGATTGAAGAATAACTTTGGGAATGCATATCCTATGAGAGGGAAATGAGATATTTGACCATTGAGGGTCGAGCAAATCGAGCATTGAAAAAGTGAGAATTGATTTTGGTACCATTATTATAATTTGAACCCATTTGGTACTGATTAAAATCTAATTTTAATCTAAGTTAAAATCAAACAATTAATATTAATCACATCTTTCATAGGCCCCATAACTTTTCAACCACACATTTCAAAACTTCTATCACAATCTACTAAAAAATCTAATTTTAATTCCCACCAAATACCCTCAAAACTTTTATGAATTGTTAAAATAAAAAATGATCATCAATACTTTATGTGAATGTGATAAGTTTATAATAATATATTGATATTTATGTTTTTTGTGAGTTGAAGTAAATAGTCTTGCTTGGGACAAACAAATGAGTATGGGGTTATTTGATTAGTATATTTTATACATTGATTGTAGCTTCTAAACATGATTATTTATTGCTAAACTTAAAGGTATACCTAATTTAGAATTAGTATATTAATTTTTGATAAAATCTCGACTTATAGAAAAGCAATTATGAGCTTAATTGGAGTTGATTTGGATCATTTGAAGATCTACATCATTTAATCAATAAGAAACATTAATAGAGCAAGCGGAAGAGATTCACAAGTTTTAGAAGCTAAACCTAACATTCGAGAAGTTTGACGACTCAATTGTAAACTTTCAGAACTTGCACAAATTATGAATGACTGTGAAATGTGGAGGATTAAATTATAAATATTCAAATATGAAGAACCCATGATGCAAATAAGAAATGACTTGAATTGGACAAAAGATAAAAATTCAGGTCCAAGTTTTAAAAGGTGTAAATATTGTGCCTTGTGATCGCAAGGACTGACTTTTGGTAAACAAGCTCAAACCGTTTCATTCGTGATTCCCTATAGGCGATGGGACGCGGACCTATCTGATAGAGAATATTTAGTTTCTTAATTTAATTCAACCTCTTCCTGAAAAACTATTAGAACACGAGATTTGACTCAATTTTGCTACTATAATACATACTTTAATCTACAACTATAGGAGGAATCTTTGATACAAAACACATTATATGAATCATATTTTTCATACATCTTTGCTTGGGTTGAAAAAACCGAAGATATCCAATGAGATAAATCATTGAAGGGATTCAAGATTGTCTTCTATATTTCTGCCTAGATGATGTAGTATCAAATCTAGTTGGTGTTATTGTAATCATATAATGCATGACTAACTGTGTAGATGCTAGAATAATGTTGAACCTTACATTTTGATATTTTCATGTTAAATTGCATATTTTGACAAAAGTTTTGTTTGGTTTTGAATGCTTGTTATGATCGTAACGGTTTTCAATTACTTAGTCATTGATTGAATTGATGTGTGAATTTTATAGTCATGCACAAAAAGAATTGAGAAAGATAGTATATGATAAAAATCGATGTAAGGTTTTATAGACGCTAGGAATAATTGTCTATCATCTGCATAATCATGTTGAATGGTCATCTGATTTAATGGATCTTCATATATTTGCATTCAGGATATGGATATTTTGAGTTATATATGAGGATATATTTAATTCTACTAAATAAATTAGGAATATTGATGTTCATATTCAAATAAATATTGTTAGTTGATGAAGTTGATATTAAGATGGAAGAATATATGGAGATCTGGTGTAACTTGTGCTTTAGTCATTAATTGAATATTCATAAACGCTTAATTTAGAATTAGATTAGATTAGTTAGAATTGGGACAATCTTGTAACAATTATGTTACTCGATTAGATTTGGGTTTAATTCAAATCTAAATTAGTTACTTAATTCTTGTGAGATCAATACTTGGATTCACCTACAATGAATATTAACACTGGAGTTGGATTCCTAGTACAAATTTTTACTTGATTCTTTCGTCCAAAAATTGCATTTTCACTTACTGAAAAGATGTAATTATACCTAGTATTGTTACTTGATTTCGACCATTATTGTATGTATTCAATTTATGCTTGTGCTAATCAAAATTAAGCTAAACCCTAAATCATCAGAAAGGCAATACTCTTTTACACATCATTACTATTAGCTATCAACGAACTTGCGCGTTATGGGATTCAACTTAACAATAGACAAAGTAAATAAGCAACACGTAAAACTTAAGTTACTCTTCTTAATCAGGTTTTTAACATGAAACTCCAAGTCCTAATATTGTAGTAGACTCAATTAAGTTCAAAAAAACAATTCCCCAAAATTATTCATAATTAACCTTGAAAATTTAGCTGAAAGTATGAAGGGAAAGATGTTAATCATCAATATCAGTGATGAAAATTAAACATGAGAAGCACTACTCCTGAATGAACCAAGGGCTTTCACTGCCCCAGCTCTCAATATAAACTGGTGGTAGAATGCTGCAATGGCTGCACCAATAAAGGGACCAACCCAGAAAATCCACTGGAAAACATATAATGCAAGTATTAGAAAAATTGCAAACTAGAAAATTCAATTTTTACAATGAAAATATTTTCCATGAGAAGTCATTGTTCGATTGACCGAACATAGGTCATCAAGAGACTTTTCGAGACAAGTTTTTATCGTTAAAAATCAAATTTCTATGTATAGTGTATATTTAAATGGATATAATTAAATATAATTAGGAATATAGATACTAACAAGATCATCCCAAGCCTTGTCTTGGTTGTAGATTACTGCAGCTCCAAGGCTCCTTGCCGGGTTAATGCCAGTTCCAGTGATTGGAATAGTGGCCAAATGAATCATGAAAACTGCAAATCCAATTGGAAGAGGTGCCAATACCTAGCATTTCAACCCATGTTTAAAAGCTTGAGTAATGCAAACGTCAAAGAGTCTTCTTGAGTCTAACGTTATGAAAAATAAAAAAATACAAATTCAAAACTCAAATTTTGGTTGTAATAATGTGTTTTGTTTCATACGTTAAAATTTCTAGACTCAAAATTCGTAGGGTACTCAAACCTATGTACAACAAATAGTTGATGGCATGATTAGTCTGAGTAGTATGGATCATGCTACATGTACAAACTCACTACTCACAATAGGTGTGGAGATTATAAGTCGACATTTTTTAAATTCATGTGGAGTCCGCTAATTTTGTGAGAGTGAGTACACCATTTTATCAACAAGATTTTGTACAAATATTTTTATCTATGTAGTATTATAGAAGAAAAATAAGTTAAATTTTGTTTATTTTTTCTAGTGTTGTATTCTACACGATATCTCCATGAGCGTGGAATTTCCTGTTACTAATAATTTCTACATAATTCTCTTATGATATTGCTATTGTGATGTGTTGGGAAAATGTTGTGATTGGCAATCTGTGACCAAAAGGACTAATTTGTCGAGTTTGTAAACTCAAGGACCAATTTGTCAATGTCTAAAAGTTCAAGGACTTGTGTTACAATTTTGCAATAATTAATGTATAGGTCTAGGGTAAAGTTGGATGCTTTGAAGATGAAAACGGCGCAAAGTTGGTGCTAGAGTTTCACCCTGACCTCGCTCGAGCCTAAATAACAGAATCTGCGTCGCTGGAGTTTCGCCACCACTTCGCTCGATCGAGAGTGCGTCGCTAGAGTTTTGCCGGCACTTCGCTCGAGCGACAGTTTTGGTAATTTCCTTCCTCGCGAATTTTAAACGCTCCATACTACCAAAAACGACCTACTATATGAACAAAAATTTCGCTTTTCATTAAGAACCTTTGGCATAACACATAGCACAATATTTTCCTCTCTATCAAAAGATCAATTGCAAAACTCTTCACCATATGATTCATTGAAGAAAAAAACACATCAAACACCTTTTCAAACAAAACACCTATTAAAAATCCTCACTACTTCCAGAAGATCAGTTGATTGAAGATCTGGGAAGGAGGTTGATTGAAGAACTGGAGTTCTTGTTGATTCACGGGAAGCAGAAGAAATACAAGGCTGGGATTTTGGCACAGATCTGTAGAATCCAGGAGAGCTTTGGTTGATACAGTAAGGAGGTCAAAGTGTTGTTAGATACAGTCATGTCTGGCGTACTGTAAGCTGGAGTCTTCTATAGTGAATTCCTACTTGTTTGTGCCCGGAGTTTTTACCCAGTTGGGTTTTCTCCGTCAACAATTTTTGTGTTATTTATTGCTTTCTGTCAATTTCAATTCAACCGGCAATTCAACATAGGTAGTTAAATCATGTGAATGACTCTGGACAACGTTTAATTTATGTGACTTGTTGCATAACTTAATTAAATTGTTAAATTCCGCATAGACACCTATTCACCCCCCCTCTAGGTGTTGGTTGGGTCGAACTATAGCCTTTTCAAGTGGTATCAGAGCCAAATCTCGAGTCCTAGCCCATAGTTGTCTAGATGAGTCAATCACTTTCTGTACCTCCGTACTTTGACGAAAGTAATTATGCTTACTGGAAGGTTAGAATGTGTGCGTTTCTTAAGTCCTTAGATGAGCATGTTTGGTTGAGTGTGCAAAATGGCTGGAAACCTCCCTCCACTATCGTATCAGGAATTGTTAGCCTTACTGATATATCACTGTGGACTAAGGATGAGATAGCTGAGTGTAATTGGAATAGCAAGGGACTTCATGTCTTGTTTATGGCCGTGTCTCCCGAAGAGTTTAGGAGAGTGTCAATGTGCAAAACTGCTAAAGAGGTGTGGGATATTCTTGAAACTACACGTGAGGGAACTAAAACGGTAAAGAACTCGAAATTACAAATGCTAGCTTCTAGGTTTGAAGAAGTGAGGATGAAAGATGACGAAACCTTTGATGAATTTTATGCAAAATTGAATGATATTGTTAATTCTAGTTTCAATTTAGGCGAGAAAATTTTCGAGTCTAAAATTGTTAGAAAAGTACTTAGGTCCTTACCCGAGAGATTTAGGCCTAAAGTTACTGCCATTGAGGAAAGTAAGGATCTAGATGAAGTTAAAATTGAAGAACTTGTAGGATCCTTGCAAACTTATAAACTCACTATCACACAACCTAAGAAAGGAAAGTCCATTGCTTTAAGATCCATCAAAGAGGATGAATCTTCCGATACTGAGTCTTTGAGGGACGATGAAATTGCTTACTTTGTGAAGAAATTTCAAAAGGCTCTCAAGAATAGGAGAAAGCCTCAGGATAGAAAAAGTGGAGTCCCTAGCAGATTCTCAAAAGAAAAAATTGAAAGGTTTAACAATAAAAGTTCTAGTGATAAACCACATTTGGTTAGGTACCATGAATGTCAAGGTATAGGTCACTATAGGAATGAGTGCCCTAGTTATAAGAAGAACCAAAGAAAACGGCAGGGTAAGGCCTCAGTTATTTCACTTACTGATAACGAGTCTGAGACTAGTGATAGGCAGGAGTCATCTAGTAGTGAAGATGAAGGGAACTATATGGCATTTGTGTCGACTATTAAGAGTGAATCTGATAAGGAGAGTGACAAGGTTGAGGAAGAACTTCACAACAATAATTCTAGTAATGAGGATGAGGATGACATAGACATACATGAGGCCTATCAACTCTTGTTCAAGGAGAGTCTTAAAATCAAAAAGATCAATAAAGCCATACTCAAAAAGATTGATGAACTTGAAAGAGAAAAAGAGAGACATGCTAGTAATCTCCAGAATTCACTTAAGAGTGTCAGTGAGTTAAAATGTGTCAATGAGATGTTGGAAGACAAGGTTAAGACATTAACTAGTGAATTGGAGAAATCTAATGCTCATCTTCAGACTTTCATAAGTGGAACTAAGAAATTGGATGACATTTTGGGAATGAATAAGCCTACGGGAGATAGGAAAGGTCTAGGATATGTTGAGGGTAATACACATGGTGCTGGACCATCTAAAACTGTATTCATTTCTGCCTCTAGGAAGTCTAACGCTGTCAACAGTCCAAATAAGGGTAAGAATGTTTCGAGGGAACAAAGCCATCAATCATGTAGAAATTTTATGCCCAAACACCCATAGACACGTACCTTTGAGCCTAGGTTCATTCCCACCTATCACCACTGTGGAGCTCTAGGACACACTAAGCCTAGATGTTATAAGTTAGGTAATGAGCGTAGAAATCAGAATATTCCAAGTCAGGTCAGTTTTTTGACTAATCAGGTTAGTCATTTGACTGAGATGCTTACTAGGCTGACTAGGAGTACCACGTCATCTAAGAAAGTTTGGGTTAAAAATGAGGATCTAGGTGGACTTTCAGGTCAGGTAAATTGCTATGCTGCTCATGTTGCATTTAAAGCCCAAGATTTCAATATGTGGTACCTTGATAGTGCTTGTTCTAGGCATATGTGTGGTAACAAGGCTTTATTCAATACTCTTGATGAATGCAATGGGGGTATGGTTACCTTTGGAGATGGGGGCTCTGCACCTATTCTTGGCAAAGGTACTGTACAAATACATGGATTACCTGTGATCTCAAATGTGTTTTATATGGAAGGTTTAAAGTCGAACTTGTTAAGTATTAGTCAGATTTGTGATGCTAATTTTGAGGTTAGTTTTGTGGAAAAGAGATGTACCGTGTATGATTCATTTGGTGGGGTGGTCCTTGAAGGGGTTAGAACGTCTGATAACTGTTATAGAGTCCTACCTAATTCTAACTATGTGTGTAGGAGTGCAAAAATTGATGTGAGTGAACTTTGGCATAAAAGATTGGGTCATTTAAACTATGAGAGTCTAGTACAACTGGCTAAAAAGGAGTTGGTAGATGGTTTGCCTAAAATAGGTCCTAGTGAAAATGTTGTGTGTGGACCATGTCAACTGGGTAAACAAATTAAAGGACTCCATAAAAAGACTTTCAAAATTTTGACCAAAAGACTCCTGGAATTGATACACATGGATTTAATGGGACCATCTAGGACTGAGAGTCTAGGAGGTAAGCGGTATATTCTGGTTATGGTAGATGATTTCTCGAGATTCACATGGGTAAAATTGCTTAGGAAAAAATCTGATGCATGTGACCTTATAAAATCTTTGTGTAAACGGTTTAGTAATGAACTCAATCACACAAAGTGTCCAGAATGCGAAGTGATCATGGAAAAGAGTTTGAAAATTTCAATCTTGAGAGCTTATGCATGGATGAAGGGATACTACATGAGTTCTCTTCCCCTATCACTCCTCAACAAAATGGGGTGGTTGAAAGGAAGAATCGTGTTCTTCAAGACATGGCTAGAGCCATGCTTCATGACAAGGGGCTAGCCTTACATTTTTGGAGAGAAGCTATTAATACTTCATGCCACATAATCAATAGAGTCTACCTTAGACCCAAAACTGATCAGACTCCATATGAGATTCTAAAGGGTAAAAAGCCTACTGTCAAATACTTTCGTGTGTTTGGGAGTAAGTGCTACATTTTGCGTGGTAGAGAGAACTTGAGTAAGTTTGAATCTAAGAGTGACGAAGAAATCTTCTTAGGGCATTCTAGAAATAGTTACTGGTACTGTGATGGAGTCAGTCAATGTTGTGATAGATGATGGTGTGAGTGAGGGGGAGAATGTTGAAAATTATGATAGAAATGGTAATCTTATAAGGTCTAGTGATCCTACTGAACCGCTTATGCCTGAATCATCTCTTAAAATTCCTGAAACTCCTGAAAAGGAAACACATCCACAAGATCAAGACACAATCCCTAAGGAACCATCAACTAGGGTCAAGTCTAATCATCCTAAGGATAATATCATTGGGGATCTGGATGAAGGTATGAGGCTTCGTAAGAGAGTACTGAACAATCTAGCATATACTAGCTATGTTTCACAGGTAGAGCCTAAGAAAGTCGAAGAGGCCCTTAGTGATGAGTGTTGGGT